AGATAAATGAATAAATTCCAAGGATTCCTTATAGAGTGTTAGAACTACTTAAATATTTCAACAAACTTGTCAGGAAATAAGAATTCCAATTAATGCAGATTAATATTGAAGGCCCAACCACTTATTTGAAATAAAATAAATAAAGAAATCAATTCCAAGGATTCCTTAGAGTCTTAGAAACTACCTAAACATTTCAAAATTGTCAGGAAATAGAAATTCCAATTAATTCAGATTAAAATTGTAGGCAACACAATGTATTTAACATAAAATAAATAAATGAATAAATAAATTTCAAGGATTCCTTAGAGTGTTAGAAACTACCTGAACACTAACAAACTTGTCAGGAAATAGAAATCTCAATAACGGTAATTCAGGTTATAATTGAAGGCCCAACCACTAATTTAACATTTCTTGTTCTAGTTAAAAATTCCACAAGCCAAGTTGAAGTTCAAGGTCAATTTATTCACTCAAACCATATAAGCGGTACATGAGGCTCAACAATATATGTACAATATATACAAAAAATAATATACAAGATACAATGGCAGAAATACATTCTTATGAAGTAACAAAAATAATTATGCCAAAACATATTCATTCCAGAGCACATTCGTAAAGAGTTAAAATTTGTTTGGCTGATTATTGTCAATTTCAAGAAGCCCACCTTTCAAATGCAGTATTGTTCAGTGCTGTGGCCTTTGTCATTCAATTTTGGCTAAACAGTAAAGTTTTATCAGGAAGTATGGCATGTAGCTCAAGATTTTACAATGCAGCTTTAGCCCATAATTAAAAAAAAAATAAAAAAAAAAAAAAAAAAAAAAAAAAAAAAAAAATAGATAAATAAATAATAATATTAATAAATTAATAATAAATAAATAAATAAATAAATATAAATAAATAAATAAATATAAATAAATAAATATATAGACCAATAAATAAAATTAAGTTAATTAATTAATTGATTAAATAGTTACAAAAAAAAAAAAAAAATTCTTCCACATTTTGTCAAACCAAGAAACATCTTCATTATTTGAAATACTTCACAGCTACTTGTCAATTAGACCCAACATTCCACGTTCAGTTATTTGCTTACCTTGGCGTGAAGCCTTCTCGTCATTCCAATTTACTTTAATGCTACAGAAATTTATTTCATTTCTTGGCTTTGACACTAAAACATTTAAGGGTAATACTCTTAGAATTGGGGGTGCTACACACTTGAATTTATCAGGCTTGTCTGAAGATTATATAAAGATTAAAGGGAGATGGAAGTCCATGCATTTCAGACTTACATTCAATTTTAGTCACGTCAGACACTTGTCAACACCTTTTTACCGTTTTTTAACGTATCCTAAGTTTGCAGGCACTTCTGTCATGGTATGGATTATTGGATCATCTTTAAAAGTATTATGCAAAAAACCACACATTCATCAATTTAGATAATGCGAATTGGACAAAGAACAATACAACATCCATATCAGATGGTTTGGTCAACAAGGAATGACCTGGAAAAAGGTCCAACCATTCAAATATTCGAACTCAGGTGTCATAATATGACAACCCACATGTCATAATGATTCATTGTGGGTAATAGTATTGGTTCCATGTCCCTTTGCCATCTACAAAAGTTTATGAAGTTGACTGTCTGGTTTTCGATTATCTTTAATACCAAGGTTAAAATTTATTGGGTCACAAATACTGCCAAGAAATTAGTTCAGGCCCATGTTGTCACACAAGGCTTGCATTAGGATAAATAGCTCATTATACTGGTTCATTACCACAAGGGGTAGGGGTATATTCACTACCCCAATATTCAACAGGACTCATCAAAATTGTATCCAGAGGGTGTCCACCTTTCTCATATAGCACTTCTACCATTATCCTCTATACCATTAAGTGTGACATAATCAAAATAATTTGTCAAAATTTGCAGTGCTACCTACCATTTCCATTTAGTTATTGATCATTACATATATTATTGCTCTTTGCAACTATTGATCTATTAAACTATTGAACAGTTATTGATCATTACATATATTATTGATCTTTGCAACTATTGATCTATTGAAAAGTTATCGATCATTACATATATTATTGATCTTCATATAAATTTCCCTAGTTCTACGGTATACTGCATAACTGTAATAAATAGCAGTTTTGTCATGGCATGGGCAAAATTTGCCGCATGTGGCGGATGTCTTCACATGCCACGCTTTATTAGCTCCCATGTGAAGACATATGGCCGAATTTTGCTAGAAGCTCGCTGCTGATCCTGTTATCTTCCAGGGCCAGTGGCCAATAATTGAGCTTCCGTCATTGTGCCATTGCTATTGATTCTACGTCATATACTATTGATAAAGTCGACGTAGACCATTGTTGTTGTAATACATTGCTACCTGCTCATTGCAATTCATTTATCATTGAATATCATTGAATATCATTGCATATTATTGCATAACATTGCATATCATTGCATATCATTGAATATCATTGTACCCATTGTGTAAATACATGTATACACTTTGCGTACATCATTGATTGAATATCATTGAATATCATTGTACCCATTGTGTATTAATTATTCAATATACACTTTGTGTACATCATTGAATTGATACTTTATGTACATCATTGTAGAGATACCTTGTGTACATCATTGTATTCATTGTATTGATGATTGATTTGACTATTGATTGTATTGATGATTGATTTTGACTATTGATTGTATTGATGATTGATTTGAATATTAATCAATAAAGCCATGACAAAAACTGCCAATCATTCTTGATCTATTTTGTCGACATAAGGGTATTTTGATTCAAAAGTTAAAGTCATCTCGTTTATTAATGCTTTGCTGTTAGATTACCATTAACGTCTTTTTATCACAAGAAAGCGGTGTATTAAATGTACTTGAAAGTTTGCTGTTCGGTGTTAAAATAATATATACATGTTTTCTCTAAAACCATGCACACTGATTTTGTCAATCTGAAACTCAAGAATCTTTTTGATGTCTATCTGTGTGTACAATCACAATGTTTTGATACAATACGTATTTCTGCAGAAGATTAATGACGTCGACAAGGTAGTTATAAATTCCATTTTTTATTAGAAAATCAGCTGTCAATGATGTCATAAAGCCTGGACTTCAATTTATCGTGGGAAATTGTTGTATATCAAGATGAAAAAGTGTGTGTTCTTACTTTGCCGATTTCTAAAAAAAAAAAATAGATTTACGATTTTAAATATTCCAAAAGTGCTTTGGAATTTTAAAGTATCTGATTTACACCACTTCTCGATTATGTTGATGCACAGAACTCATAAAGTTTAAATTCTCCTTCACTACTGATCATATTTTGGTGAGGAGTAAAGAAAGAGGCTTTAGCTTAAATTAGCAGAACATTTTCTGGAACTTTATATGTATCTTCGTTCGTAAGGAACTTTGCGTTTATGGGGTTTCAGCTGATTGTTTGGAATATCAAAAAAAATTATTCAAAATATGATTTTGAAGAATTTCCTCCTCACTTAGAATTAACACTTGGGAAATAAATTCCAGTTCCTCTAAAATACAATTGAAATAATGCGCCTTACAAACAAAAACAATGCTGTTTGATACCTGCTTTGTCGGCAAGAACCAGTACATACTGAACGTGTTATCTATCTAGTTCTTTTTTCAGTTATAAATAAATTATTGAACACAGAAGGATAGATGCATGGTTTTCATATTGCCCCTCAATCATTTTGACAAACTTCTGGTGCATTTAATCCATTCTGACAAAGCGTCAATGTCTACTTTTTACGTCTGGTCCATCTTCTGGCATGATCCTCAAAAGAATCCATTAAATTTATGAAATCATCATAAAAATTAAATTACATGTACGATCGATTGCCTTTTATAAATTAGAACAAGAAACAAGATGAATTAAATTAAATAAATTAGTTGCAGACAATTTCATTCGTTGGTTGTATCCTCCCTTCAGTGGCTGTGCAATTAAAAAAAATCAATGAATTTATTCTGCATTTTCCAATAAATTCCAAATATGTAAATTTATCCCAAATTCAGCGCATGTATCATCTTTTAGTATAATTTAGTACACCTATATTTGCATGATTGTTTATTATGTGATATGACCTAGCTGTCCAATATTAAATTTCCTTCCGTATTTCTGTTTGTTTGACTTCCATCAAATTCTTTTGATATAATATATTCAACACAAAAAGACTTAATTTTGATTTGCGTGAAATGCATGAAACCCGTAAAACACGATCATGATAACAACTATATAACAATAACACCCTCTAAAATTAATTATGCACAAAAATTTAGGGGAAATTTAAAATCCTCCTAAAAAGAGCAATTCTAAATCATGACAAGGCCAATGATCTGAATTAAACATGTTTTCAAAACTCAGTTTTTGTTTTAATTCTTTCCATAGGGCAGTAAGGGTGGAGCACAACAGAGGAATACAGTTTAAATAAACGCATGTGAAACTGTCAATTTATTTATATAAAACTATTTTAAATCGTTTTACATGTTTTATTTAAAATCATCGACTTAATAGTTTTAATTTATACAGCTCAGTGTTTGTCAGCTGAGATACGGCTCGCTGCTTTATGATGTAAATTCCTAACACCTATCCCGTGAATCAAATACAAATCCACGTGGCGGATTCATTCATGTTAGAACATGATGAAATAGTGTGGGGGAATCCCCGTCCCAGAAAATCCAATTTAGGCCACATCCGGTAATGGTGCAATACTTGCAGAAACCCTTAAATATTAAACAATACTGAACTCTGTGGAATGTGAGGCTAATATGTACTTAACAACAACATAATTAGCCATCTATGCAGTAATAGTTAAAATCCACGTGTTTTTATTTATTTCTGTTTACTATGACATCATCGGTAGCTAGCAACATGACACATTTGACCTTTAAACCGTTCAATAGTCGAATCACATGGCGAGAACCTGTGTTAGCTCCACCCCTTTCTCGGTCAAAGTACACAGAGGAAGAATGTGCTGACATAATCTAAGTCAGAATTCAGGAGAGACACACGATACCGGCTACCAAGGAATCGTTCGAAGCAGATCTTCTGCATAGTGAAAAATATTGGAATACTATGACTTTAACTGAGCCTAATATCACAGAAGACAAAAGAAGGTAAAAGTTTTATTTAATATTATGAAAATCACTGATAATAATCATGATAATTGCGCGCGAACTAACACGTGTTTAAGGAAGTGCACATCTTGATTTGGATTTTTTCATTAAAAACCACCTATATGCATCAAAGTTTCGCATTTTTTATAATTAGATGCAACATGGAAAGCCAAAATTTCTGCCACATTGAATCTGATGAAATTCTGATGCTTATATTTAAAATCAAACATCATCTGCATGTCAAAAACTTCTGTTCTTTTGCAGTATGGATCTAAACAAGACGTTCAAGGAATTGATAGAACGGGCTGCAGATAAAGGAAGAGTTACAACAGGGCTCCACACTTGCGCCAGAGAACTACAGGTGTAAGTCACTAAGTGTTTGAATGACAGGGATAGAGAGAGATTTCTAGGCATGGGTCTGTAGTCGGAAAGAGAGTTAAAGATTTAAAGCAAGGATGTATTAGGAGAGAGATTTCAGAGTAAGGTGCGCCACAGAAATTGGTATTGTTTAAATATGATGAATAATTTGCTGTATATTTCTTTACAGGGCACCAGAGGGGGTGTTGTTGTGTGTAATGCCAGTAGAGGAGAAAGAAAGTGATGAACTGGTTCACATGCAGCATGTTCTGATAGAGGCTCACTGCAGAGAACACAGGATCACTCTCGTAAAGGTCCGGCATAATTAATGGATATCTTTTAAAAAGTAATGGAGTTAATGATAGATTGAATAGATTCTAGTTTTGAATGGCCATGAGAAAATATTACAGGGCTTAAAATGATTTGTAAATATATTTTTTAAACTATTTTTAATACCTTTTCATATTTTTAGGTGGACAGTGTAGTAAAGTTTGAGCAGTGCCTGCTGATGCCAGCTCGCAGGAAACAAAAAGACCTTGACCTCAGTTGTGTTGTAGTTCAGGTAAGTCAAGGTCACTGCCAAATCTATGAACTTGATAAAACAATATGAAATCCTGCTTTCACAATTATTGTCATAATAATATAAAAAGAACATAAAAAGATTTCAAAAATATAATTCAGGAAATGAAGAGTTTTGCCTTTTTTTGAAAGGTTGCAAAGGAGGGTAGGACTCAGTTGGAGAGAAAATTTCTGAATGGATGTCGTAAACATCCTAACAATCTGGTTATCCAGATTCCGGCCTGATAACCCCTGATGACCGCATCCCAACGGACATGCCATATGGAAGTAAGAGAAGAAATATACATGTATACATTCAGTCACTATACAGAATTTATATATTCTTATTACATTTGAAATTTATGTTTCTGACTTGGCATAAACTCATTGTATTTAAAGTTTGATAGTATATTTTAATACTTATGTGGGACGTCTTTCCTCTTGTTCTTGTAGAAGTCTACAGACTTGTAAGTAGAGGAAGTACTTCCTGAGAGCTGGCCGGGAATGGATCCGTTATTATGTTTTCCATTTTACATCGTGTGTTCCACCTGGAAGTGACCGTCCTTCCAAAGCCATAGCTGGGGGAGAGGAGCTGGTGTGTGGACCCCTCACATATCGGGGGTCCCCTGTCTCCACTTTTCCCAGCTCTGAACTCAACACTTTGTGAATGGAACCTCATTATAACTGGACATAAACCATTCCCATAGGTACTGACCCATTTTTCAGTGTGTACATTCTACATGCATATTGGAAAAAGCATGAAAAAAAAATGATAAAAGCGAGGCGAGGGATATGGAACTTGAGGAAAACATTTAGAGACGAAGTTGAGAGGAAAAGGAGGACAGAGAGTGATGAAAAATATACAAAAAAAAAAATCATAACTGACAGTGTTTTATTATGTGTTCATTATAATATGGAATTACATTGAATTAATCTGCTTTCATATTACTTTTAATAAATCATTTGTAAAAGTTCTAGTCTGTTTTAATTTGTTTTTTCCTTTCTAAATTTGAAGAAAACAAACACTTAAAAAGACACATTATGATTAACACATTGTTTTACAAGGAGTTACATGACCTCGTGTGAGTAGAAAGTGTTTAAAAATCAGAGCACTGACTGACTGTGAATAATACTGAAACCATTAAAAACCACAAAGTATGGCTTCGTCAGAAATAAATCACATACCCAGGTACTCGAAAAGATTTGTGTCTTTGTCATTCTAAATAAGGGGGAGTACAAAATGTATTAATTGAAACTGTACCCCTGATGAAAGTAGATTTATTTAGTAAATATGAATTACAGGTCAAAAATTGCATTTACTAAGCAAATTATAAAGCTTCATTTAAAGGGGGTAGATGGGCGTTTCCCGATTAATCCACCATTATATTGTGTATTTTTAATTAATTTTATATTAAAATTTTTACGATTTACAAATATAATATTTCCAATTAGTAAGGTATTTCTTTATTTAAAGAATATATGTTTAAAATATATATTTTAATTTGACATATTTTAATATTATTAATAAATAAATTAAAAAATCCATTTTATTTAAAACATCCTTGATTTCTTTTAACAGAAACCCAGGATTTTTTTTTTTTTGGTTTCTATTTGCATGACCTGTGCACCCTACAAGGCCTTTCTGATTTAGAAATGCTTTGAAAATTCAAAAAGAAAACCCCAAAACCTCTAACGTGGAATATATATATAGGCCAGTCCGTGTCATCCATGAAATGTGATCGTACATTGAATTGATGTCGTCCTCAGCGGTGTCACAGGTGAAAATCCAGAGCTTCGGGAGCATGTGACTTTGACAGAAGAAAACACCCAGCCTATATTTATATGTAACAGGAATCTATAAATAGAACGTTAGTCATGAACTGGCCATGTTCTATATTTAGAACATATTACAAATCAATATCTTGCAGATTCTTCTACATAAACAAGGTTCATTTTTATTTACATGTATGTTTACCAGGAATAGCTATACAAAACACTGATGCTTATATATATCCTTACGCAATTGTCCTTTATTATGAGTTGCAAGGATTAGCGCACTGGATCCTCAGTTGAAAAATAGGAACATCCTAGATGATCGACCAATCGGTGAGCTCGATCCCGGGTCAGGGATAACCACATGACGAATCTGGATTACGACATACCACATACCTTACACAAAGTCTACGTAGGGAAGACGTCTTGATCACAGCAGTTCTTGCAGACTTATTTCAAACTGAAGCTTACTTACACAAGAGAAGACATGACATTGACGGAGCAGAAAGATTTGGTGGAACAATGCAGCGAAGAGTAAGTAATAAATTTTTACTTAAAAGTTTCAATTCTAAATTCCTGGCATATTTGCGAAATATCTGGACAAACACGTTATTTAAAGTTTTTAAGGAAATTGAATGCAACCTTTATGCTATAAAAGATGCAGTACTTTAGCAATTATTTTTTTCACAGCAGCGTGTGTCATATATTCTGTAAAAATGTATATCTCCAATATATTGCGTCATCAATATGTATACGTACGACCTACGTACGTATAGCAGGTACTTTGCCCAAGGTGCAAAATGGTCAGCGTGACTTTATTTCATGATCGATAGTAGATAAAAGCATTGTTTAATGTACTGTAAATTGTGTCTAGTGTATAAGAGTCTATTTCGTAGTTGTGTAGGAGAAATTCTCAGCACGACATTTAATTCATTTCTCAGAACATGGACTAAAAATACACAGTAAAATGTATAAATAGTTTTGGCTGCATTTTGTCATACGATGAGTTGTACATATACTTTATGCAGATGCGTCAGATCTGGGCCTATTGCCAGTCTGCCTCATTCAATACTTCACAAACTAGGACTATCATTTCTAAATTTAGTAACAGCATGACAGACTGGAGATCGGAACGTGAGAAATATTTTAAGTTCGTTTTGTCCTTTCCCTTATAAGGAATTGGACCATTATCATTGGAATGTAATTCTTTAATACTTGGTCGCAATTATGTGAAGCGTACTTGGACTTAGTGCAGGCTAGAATTCACAAACAAATGAAAAAATATGTTGTGGTTAACCATCGTACCATTTAAATTTCAAAATCATTCATACTAAATCATTTCCAAAAAAGTTAGAGGTATGAATATTCAGAAACTTAAATTTTTTTTTTAGCTGCGAAGTTTAAAAAAAATTGTTATTATCAATATTGATCTTGACCTAATTTAATTTACGTGACATCTAAGTTTTGTTTACAAACACATAACTGTAAAATTAACTTCCTATTTGTTGATAAGCTTATTTGATTGGCGGTCAGCAAACAGAGGAATACGCGAATTTTCTTTTAAACTTGAAAGTTGTTTGTTTTTTGCATTAATTAATTCGATATAACAGAATAAAATTAAAGTTGCGCAAGCAATTCGATACTCATGTATTTTGTCAAAGGGTAGAAATATTGTTTGGAATTAACTTGAATTACTGCTGAGGATAATATAGATGTATATATGTCTATATTTGAGTTTTCTGATCTTGCAGAAGCTGTGTAAAAGCCTGTCCTGGTGTCCTAGAAGTCTTTAGAAGTGCAGCCCAACAAGAAAGGGTCCTCAATGGAGTCTATAAATGTGCAGCCATTTTGGAGAGGTAATTGTCCTCGCTCACCTAGAGCTTACAGCTTTCTGATTAACTGCAGCATGTATTTTTTTTGTTTTAAATGTTATAGTTACTATGTTTAATATTAAGAAAAAACATATTACCTCAAAAAGATTAAGATTTGAAAATTTGGTTTGATTGCAGGGACCCGGATGCGGTGATGTTGTGTATTTTACCTCAGCCACCAGAAGATGCTGACGTCACTATAAACATAGAACAAACACTTATAGAAGCACATTGCTGGGAAAACGGAATAAGAGTAATGAAGGTAAAAAATGAAATAGCAAACTTAATTATTTCATTGACAAGATAATTTTTTATCAACTTATTGCAATTACAATTTAAATATAAAGTGCATTATTTATTTCCAGGTGGACTGTGCAAAGAAATTAGAGATGTTAATTCTCGACCATACACAGCCGACTGATCATTCCCTGAATTCTGATTTCTCCTGTGTTCTGGTTCTAGTAAGTAGTATATATTTATCAATTTATAAAATTAAAGAAAGACTTCCAATTGCACGCCCAAAATCGATTTTAGAAAAAAAAGCTTGAAATGCAGAAAGTAAAATTTGAGTTTTTTTAAATTTTAACAGTTCCCCAAAAATGACGCCATCGACTCACCTGCCGCAGAGAAAGAGTGGAAGCTGATAGATAACTTCTTCAAGAAAATGCTCATGCATGGGGTGCCACATTGGCACGTCATTGAGTTACCCGGATGATGTATTTTACCTCATTTTTTAACAGTAAGTTTAAGATTCTTAGCTGTATGATTTTAGCAGTATTCATTGAATTAACATAATTTCATGTCGTGGTTGAGTAATTTGTCTGAAATAAAAGCATTATCTTATTTTGTGTTTTTTTTTTACAGTTAGTTTTTTTGAGCCATTATTGCACCAAAACCAAACAATGAGATAGGAATGTGATGGCCAAGTACAGTCTTCACTAAGTTAATGAAAGTGAAAAAGAGGCCTTTGAGGACATGCATGTACGCATGCCCAGTGAGCATGATCTTGCATCGAAATGAACATCAAACATAATTCCGTACTGTTTCCCGGAAGTGAAGGCACATGAATTCTATGAAGATGGGACTTCTTGAAAAATGTTTATGGTTATGGTGTTGAAATCATCATTGCTAGAATTTAAAGGACCTTATTGAATGTACTTGTTCAATGAAATGAGTCTATGAATTTGTATATAAGCTTGAAATAAGGAATTAAGTAATAAAAGATAGATATATACATTGTAATTGTGTTTCTCTTTACTAAAAATATTTACTGATCAAGATGTGCATTTTTGTATTTCAAGTCAGTGGGACTTAAATAGTAAGAAATCTGAAACACATCAATGAGCGACTCGTGGTCAGCATGACAATATTTAATTTTCTACGAGTTCTTCTATTCCTCGAAGGTTCTTCAGCAAAGGTTGTGTGATATGACGAATTATGATTAATCCCCCTAATTCCTCATCTCTTTGTGTGTGCGATTTGATAAATTTGTAAATATATATCAACTTTTTTAATATTCATTTTGCCAAATTTTTAGATAAGTAAACTGCTGATCTGTAGCTTGCTGGTCTGAAACATTAGGATGGACGACTAGAGAGCTGTAGTGCCACCCATTGAAAAAAAGTGTAACAATTGAGGTTCGATCCTCAGCTACGAAATATATAACTCTTTAATTTATGATTTGATTCAAAAAGTCTCAAAACGAAGGTTGAAAATTTTTTTTTCTTCATTTTTTATACCTCTCAATGTAGTTTCCATATCCTTCTAGGTTCTTTGAAGTTTTTAGAAAGGTATGAAAAATGGAAACTTTTACCCCATAAAAGTATTTTAAAATTACACATTGAAAGAAATCGAGTTTTTAAATCTAACCATAGATACTAATGTTTTTTTTTTAACATAATATGAAATTAGAAGTGATTTCTGGCGTTTAGCAATGATAGGAAACTAATACACTGTGCATTGGAAAATTATGTAAGTAAATAGAAGAAACTAAAATACTAGTATAACAATTGTGCAATTTCTTCGAAAGCCTGAATACTAGTACATATGATTTTTATTGGTACGTGTTTGTTGATCAAAATTGAATCGGAAAAAGCAAATTATTTTAATTCGCATTTTTCTGAAAAATTAGTTGAGATTTACTAGTACTTATTTTCTGTATTTAATATGATTAACATTAGAGATGAGATTTGACGATTTATCGGGGATAGTAACACATTACTTTTAGACATTTTTATGAGCGTTTTCAATCAGTCTATGCCTGATTTTCAGAACCTGAGCTAGGATCAGCGTACCTTAATGCGCACTGGATCCTCAGGTAAATATATTTTATCATCTTCACATTTCGCAAATAAATATTACAATAAATTCAAAGTGGGGCGGTGTATCTATGCAAGGGAAGGAAATGTCACATGCCTATATCAATGGCTTCTAAATTGGAACAGGGGACCACGTCAAAAGGTTGTCGAGCCGAAATAGTCTAAACTCTAAAATCCTATTTCTTTGGCGGATGGGTCGTTCTCCATACAAGCTGAAATTAGCATTTATTTCACCGTACAGCAAAAAAAGTGGGAAGAAGCAAGCATCGTCCTAATTAATACTCACATATAAAACTAAAGCAAAAAGAATATTCAATACTATTAAGAGACTCGCCCGCCTCGCCCACACACCCTTACATACACACCCTACAGGCCTGAATCACACTCTCTGACAATGACAAAGAGGAATAACTCTTAGGTAATTTTATGTTCGTGTTTCTTTATCACGAATGCCCTGAGCTAGTTCGTCATGAATTCATATAATTAAATAGCAACCCAAGTTATATGGTATATCCTGGGCTTGGACAGTTTACGCTTTATAAATTCCTCATGCAAATTATTCATATTTTTAAGCATTGAATTCATATATTTGGATGTGTCGGTCCTATAACACACCTGGCCGTGCCACAAATTGAATTCCGCGCGTTAGCTTATATACATTCTCTAATTTTTCCTCTTCATAATTGTTTATTTCGGTAATCTTTAATGTGAATTTAGCGTCCTTCAAAACCAATGTGCTTTATAGACGTAAGAGCCGTTTGTGACGTTGCAAAATTAAGAAATGCAAACGAACATTGCGAAGGATAAAAGTGACAAATCAATTTTAAACGCATATATTTCTTGTATTTTTACGTTTATTTAACAAGTTAATTATTTAAGTTAAATTGTGTTGAAATAATATTTATCCATAAGTTATACATAGAGATAGTTTTATTAGAATAAAACCATGTAAAGAAAAATCAGGATTCGGAAACTCCGAGCTCAGCCAACGACTTCCCCGATGGTTCTAAGAAATAAAATAAGGAAATGTATCATTGAAGGTATTACTGAAGCACGAACTTTAAAAAAGGATCTACAAACGACGAAGTTGGATGAAGCATTACCCGTTGCTTTTTACACAGGCTAAAATAGTATCATGACAAAAGGATTACTCATTTTCTGCTTCACAGATAAAATAAAAGGTGGAATGACATGGTTCATCCGACCAGCGGCCGTGGTAATCGTGCCAAAGTACTACACAGTTACTGTTCTTTTGTCCGTTTGGATTGTTGGAGTTGAAGTCACGGATTGTGATTGGTTGCTGAGAAGAGGAATAAATCCATCTGTCTTCTTCAGCTATGTCGGAAATCCCTATCCAAAACTGACCACCTAGTAAGTTAGAGGAAAAAATAGGAATATGAAGGAAGACAAGGGAACACGTATCACTTACAATAAACCGTATAGCGGGTTTCTTTAGCGGGTGCAAAATGGGCATTTTTCTTGCTCAAAGTCATGTCATTAATTTGGGCGGAACATTTTTGGCGGACATGTTTAAATAAAGGGTTTTATCTTATGGATGCGTTTTCAGTACGCTTAATATACATGTGTAAGCTTGAATACTGATTAAGGTAAGATTCTTAGTAAAACCAACACCAGATGAGACGCATATTTAAGGTAGTCCGATCCTCAGGTTTATAAAATTAACAGTTAAGTAATCAAAAATACTCATAAAAGTATCTGTGAATCAACAAAATTATGTAACTTTATCCACAGTATTTCTTTAAAGTTAAAGATCAAAGTTAATCATATTAAATAGGGAAATTTGCCAAATCTCCAATATTTTTGGAGAAAAAGCAAATTGGAATATCAGCAATGCATTTTCTAATTGCAAATTGATCAACAAATATATTTTAGGCTAAAAAACAATAGGTATCCAGGCATTCAGAGAAATTGTCATGATTTTTATACTTATTTGGTATTTTTTGTCTTCTATTTCCGTCATGTATTCTAAAATACATAGTGTAAAAGGCTTTTGCTATCATTGCAAGACACCATAAATCACTTTTCATTTCATATCATGCTAATAAGCATTGGTATCTAAGGCTGGATTCAAGGAAATCTTATTTCTCTAAAACAGTATTAATTTTTACTCCTTTTGTAGGGTATAAATGTCAACTTTTATACGACCTTTTCTAAGACTTCCAAAGACCTTGAATCTTGTAAAGATGAATAAAATGAAAATTGTTGCATGAAAAAATTCATTTTCAAGCTTCATTTTCATACATTTCAATTTAAATATTATTTTTTGGAGTTATCCTTCCTGGCTGAGGATCGGATATCCTTAACAACAGACTGAACAAAGTTATTCAGTAGCTTTACGCAAAAGTGCTTAAGCGGAAAAAAAATTTAGCAATCTACTTCAAAACCGCCAAAATGAGCCATAATAAGCACCCGCTAAATATCCCAGCTATACGATAGAACAGCCTTAATATTTATTATTAAAACACGAAGGAAGCTCCAAACACTTATCAAAGATGTTTCTTGGACCATGAGAAATTGTAACATATAAAGCTGTACATACTGAGTTGATTTAATTCATTTTCAGCATAGTGACTAACCGACCAGTCATATATAAATGTTTACCTTTCTGTAAGAACTATCTATATATGCAGCAATTCATAAACCGTTCAAGTGTAGCTAAATTAAGTCAATGGGAATTAATAGCATATGGCGATAATTTCAGAAATGAACCATAAATCTGAGAGATCACAATATTTTACGTGTTAACGTGTCTTTCTATTGATATTAATTGATTCCAAGGCTCATAATAAAACATACCCAACTGGTAAGCATGGTTCATCAAATAATTTGATTCTTGACTTGACAACGGCTCTGCTAGCTTGGAATGAAAAACACTGCAAATGCTCTATGTAAAAAAAGATAATAAGTAGTGTTCATCTAATCCGAATACAATTTGACATTATACAATTTAAAAAATTGTTAGATTCTTGATTTATCATTTTAAGACTTCCTACAGATTTCACTGAAGGGGCAAACTGTGACCAACCAAAATGTTAAAATAATAGTTCTCATGTTGCAAATAAGAATAAAAACACTCAATAAGGGATTAACTAAAATATATTCACTTGTTACATGCAAGTCAAACGATTGTCTTATCTTAGATCACAGACCTAAACAGGAATTAAAGATAACATGCATCAAATGTCAATTGGACAAGTTATATGTATTAATCGGTGCTGTAAATAACCGAAATAGGCAAATTAAAAAAATAAATTGTTATAGTAAATGCTTTGGAATTTATGGCCTCTGCACTCACATGTCTTCACCACACATTATATACAGAGACATGTCAATGAGTGCACTTGAAACTAAGCAGTCTTATCATCTTGAAGGAAATAGGTTCTTTTATGGCAGGCCATTTCGGTATTTACTGCCCTTAAGTGATATCATCTATTCAAATAAGTAATGTCACCAATTTCATTTGAATTGGTAATACATGTATCACATATTCGAATAGATGATATCACATATTTAAATAGGTGATATCATAAATTCAAAAGTTAAATATGTGATATCACTTATTGCAGTACTCTATAACAACAGAAAAAATATCATTGATTTTGGCATTTTGAGATGCCCCCTTCTGGAAAGCAGACGGTAGAATTTTATTTTTCTTGCATAAAATGTACAAAATAGTATTATTCATCAACTAATATAATTTGAGCAAAAAGTATATTGCAGCATTTGTATAATTTGCTTTGAAGTGTAAAAAAGTATTTTCCTGTGCAATCCTATATTGTTCAATTAATGTACCTATATTTTGAGGGTATAGGATGGTGCCTGAAAACAGACGGTCCATTTTCACTAAACTTGGAATGTATACTGAAATCAGTGTAAGGAACATATGGTATATATAAAGAAAATAGTTTCTCTGTAGTAGTTTTCATGCAATAAAACCTCTTCTCGGTTCCCTTAAAAGAAAAGTGAAAGTTTGAATTAAGAAGGGATTCTTGTCTAGTTTCTGACTAAATGAAATATTCAAAGTATGTTTGCTTATAAGTCTTTCTGTGAATTCTGCATTTCAAAGATCATATTTTTCTTTCCTCCTTAGAATTGTACCGTCATCTTTAAACAGAAATGGTAAACTGAATTAGAAATCTAGCAGGGCCTATATTTTGGCGAAATGGCGGCGTATGAAAATATCTCCTTTTCTGCTTCTGAAAATTACTACAAAACAAGGAATTTAGTTAATTTTTTTAAAAAAAATCAGCTTTAAGGAAATTTTATTGTAACTAATAATGAAAAAAATGTGCCAAAGTTTTGAAATATAAATAAATATCATTTTCCAAACAAACTACTGTAACAATATTGTTAGTTTTTGAAAGCCTCCAATCTACGAAGTGATTGCAGAAAAAAAATCATTAAAGTATTTAACTCTCATATAAACGTCCAAACCTTTATTTTGTTTCTTTACATGACTATTTCACCATATGTGAAAGTAAGAAAAAGTTAAATACTGCACTATAACATATTTTCGTTGGGTCAAATTTTTGTGGTTTGATGGAAAAATGTTGGTTTTGGGGATTTGATTTCGAGGACAAAGACCTGTTTAGAAGTTCTCTATATTAAATTTTACATTTCTTCATGGACATGAATTCGTGGGTCTCTTCGTACCTCGAAAACAACGAAAATTTAACCCCAACGAAAATTAGTGATTTCACAAATAAGAAGTATACAATAACTAGTATACCATAAGATTTAAGAAAAATAGAAGAAATACGGATAAGCTAATATATATTTCCATTAAACTATTCATCTCAATCTGGTAGTATCATCTGATAGACCTTATATGGTAATATCTTTTAATGCAAAAAGATAAAAATGTTATCTTTTGAAATAGAAGAAGGCATCACATGATTGGCAATAGTAATATTTTATCTTAATGTATCAAGGAAGAATATAATGACCTTGACCTGTCATTGCTTCTAAAATAAAACAGTCAATTTCAATCTAATCGATACTTTCACTTATAGTGATACTTTTTTTCTTGAATTTATGAAGGATATGGAGATAACGAACAGTATTCAATATCAAAGTCCATAAAACGATACAAAATAGGAGCAGAGCAAACAAAGACCTCCAAAACATCAGAGGTGGCATCAGGTGCCATGGAGGTGTGAGCATCCCCTGCCGACCGGTCACACCCGCCATGTACTGCTTATCATGATCGGGAAATAACGGAAAAATTCGTCGTCAATTCAGTGTTTCAATAATGGACTAACAAGTATGAAAAACGTCAGTCAGCATTTGACTCAATAAAAAATTGTGTTTGCTCACAAGGTAATTGTATTGACCATAGAACGTACGAAATGATGACTTTAAACGAGACTGCTGATATTTTTGTTTCATCAACTTGTCAATAATTTATCTCATTTAAGAAATTGTTCGTACGTACAGCATGCTCGAATCAACTGAGATATATAAACTCCGTATAAAGATGATGAAGGTATATTGCTGCATAAGAAAGGGAAGTTAGATATAAAAGTTAAAGTCATCACGTTTATCATAGAGCTTGGTTGTTAGATTACCATTAATGTCTTTTCAAGTAAAATATCCAAGTATGAAACAGAAGTGTCAGACTCAAATGTATCTTTTATTCCAAGCTCACCAGGAATTATCGTATCGACAGGAATGGAATTTACCTTGTTAACTGACAATACGTCGTCGATATATCTAAGGGTCGAGTTGAAGGCCACAGCAAGGGTTTTCTTCTTTTCAAACATAAGATTTTGCACAAATCATGCTTCATATGAATAGGTATAAGTCTGCTTATAAAGGAGTGCAATTACTTAGTTTTTGGTCATCCCTCGTATTCATGAATTAAACAAAGTTTTGGCCAAAAATTAATTTATGAGTTGAGTTGATACCCATTAAATGTATATTTGTATTACTTGAATGGCTACATATATTTAAGTCTCTTTGTAATGAGTGGTTCAAAGGACGTTCTGAAATGAAAAATTAACATCGAAGTGCATGTACATGTCATGTACATATGCAATGGTGATAATTGTAGTGACATAAATACTACAGAGGCTTATTGAAAATAAAGTTATTCCAATTCAGACTGAAATTGGTGAGTTTGCTCATTTATGGTATATGGCTTTATGTTATGTGTTATTAAATTATTTTAGATCTTTAAAAATAAATAATAATTTAACCATGCATTCAACCTTAACAACAAGATACAGTCTGATTTGATATTTGACGTACATGTAAACTGCTTTACTGTCTACAGTTTTATTATTATGTTGACATTTGCGTCAGCAAATTAGCTTTAACATGAATTCAGGAGATTTAGCCATGAGAGAAAAAGCATCAAGACACGTAGTGTTTCTAACCTGTTTAGATTTAGATCAACAATACAACAAATATTTATAGTGGTTACTGTATCGAAACGAACTGTCTCAATGTTAACGATTTAAATAATTCTTCTTATCACGATTGCCCTCCAGTTCGTCATGAAATTAGGGCGAATCACGACTTCATTAGATATACGTGTATGAGATATCAGTATTTTTTAAACAACAATTTATTTATTTATATGCGATGATATACATGTATTCAGGAAAATATTCATGACAAACATATCCAATTCATTATTTACCAAATCTGACTATCTTAGGCTGCAGTGATTAGACTTTTGCCTTCATATCAGTTTTTAGTGTTAAGTGTTATGTAAACATAGCAAAGTTTGGATTCAGAACCAAATCTGATAAATTTATATACTGGTCCTCTTCCCTTTAAGAATTAACCATAAATGAAATACACAAAATTCTTCTTATTTTTTCCCATATGAACGCATACGAGGGCTGTTCAATAAATAATGTCCGGAACTCTATGACATACAAAATAGAAATCATATGACATTAAGCTTGACTTTCTCTCATGATTGAATCATTAATAAATTGATTACAGTTTATTTGACCACTTTTCACCACATAGTTTCATCGTGAGAAGATGGAAGGCAAGGGCTATTCGAGACACAGCATTAAAAATGAATGGTAAAGAATCAGTAAACTAGGGTGAAGCTAAGCGATTCATGAAAGCAGCTGTAAAAATCGTTAAGAATCCCAAAGACATATTTACTGAAATATGTGAAATTCATAGCAACCAATGTCTGTTTTATAGACACACGAGCAGGTGGATTTCAATGAACAAAAATGATATAATGGGCATCAAGAATAGGTACCATCCTTGGCGACAAAGATTTACAACAACCAACGTACTGTCTGCCAAAAATTCAACAAAATATCACTGATGATGTTTGATTAACTTTAAGACACATAGCAAAATTGATGGGTATCATTTTGGGGATAGTTTACACTGTTTTAAGGAAACATTTGACAGTAAAAAAGGTTAGTTCTCAATGGTCACCATATGTTTTGAAAAAAGAGTGAGAACGACAGCGTGTAAGGATTTCTAAACAATTATTTAAGGGGGATGTACAAGCCATATTGG